GACCCGTGGTTGAGACTATGGATAGACTGGCAACGCTAATATCTCTCTCAAAAGTGTCAACCAATTTTAAGCCAACCTATGCAAACCAGTTGCTGACGGACGGCCTGATAAAGAAACTGAGCCATCGGAGGACTCGATACGGAGGCAACCTCCGTTACTGCGTCCGAGCGAACGCCTACTGTCCAGGCTGTCTCACTCCGAAAGCCTGCGATCCGGACGCTTATTGGCAGTTCGCAGCCCTTTTCGATCCCATTCTGTTAAGCATTAATCGGATAGATTCCTTCTGCCATCCCATGGCTCCTAGTTATGGACAGTTGAGGAAGATCCCGAGCTCTCGAATGTTGCCTGTAATCTCCTACAGAGTTCGTTTCTCGCGCAATCTGGCTGATTATCCCTTTTATCCCCTGATGACGAAAGCTCACTTTCAAAATATAGAGCGGAGATGCAAGTCAGTACTCCTTAGCTGGCCGGATGAACCTGCGGGAACCTACTACACGATGGAGGACATTAAGGCAGGCAAGTGTCGACTTCCACGCAAATTCTTACCCAATCCAAACAACTCTGCGCAAAAGATCAGCGGCACGGAACGCCATTGGCCGTACGGTCGAGGTGTTTTTGTGGCCCATAACAACACAGCCGCCTCGCAGCTGGTCGTGCAGGTGAACATTGAGGATCACTTGCGCGTGATCTGCCTTGACCTGACCGGTGAAAGGCTCCATGAGGCCTACGGTCGTGCAGTTAAGATGATGCAGTGGTTAGATAAAATGCTCACATTTTCCAAAAAGACCGACTATGGTTTCCTAAGTCCGATTCCTTTCAGTGTGGGTACCGGCCTCCGGGTGAGTGCCCTGCTTTCACTACCCAATCTCCTGTCCGACAAGGAAGCCCTCTATCAGGCTTGCTTGCAGGCTGGTGTGCGAATTCGCCCCGGTGATGGCATTGGAACCCCGCTGGTTGACTCCATCTGCGACGTGAGCCCAATCGCCGGCCTTTGTGTGACCGAGTACAAAATTGTCTCCATCTTTCCAGGTCGGCTGAAACGTTTTTTGTTAAACGAGAGCAGAACACAGACGTCTAAAGTACTCAATAACAATTGCCTTGTCAGGGAAAATAATTGTCTCTTCAGAGCCTTCATCCTCGGAGAACGCTTGTTTTGAACAGTACTCTCTCCTCTGTCTATAAAGGAACCGTGCTACGCAGCTTGCAAAGCCCTCCTAGATACTAGCTGTCACGTTCTTCCCATGGTACAGCGATGCGCATTCTTTTGCGCCTAAAGTGCTGTCGTGTACATACCTATCTTGCCTCTTCTACGCTGGGATCAGATTACTGCTCCTTCCGCAGGACATTGCCTGCTTACTCCTCCTCGTTCAGTTATTTGGATTCCCTGCGTGACAACTTTTGAGCGCAAACACTGGACCAAGTCAATTGTGCAGATTGCTTACTTCTATTATTTTCCTATTTTCGCGACCTATGTGTGAAGGTGACGCAAGGGATTTAGGAAAATTTAATAGAAAGAAAGAAACAGACCAACAGCGAACGTCGTCATTTCTGCCAGAGGTCCCTGCCTAAATAAGTCTAACAAAGAAGTGCTAACTGTGTCTGGGCGGCCTGGTAGAGATTGGTAGGTTCCTTAGCCGTTCCAGGTTGGATAGCATTGTACTGGTCATGGGATATGACAGATGGATACTAGGAAGATAGGCTAAAATTCCAAATCTGTGAAATACCTACGAACCCTTTTAATAATCCTTCAAACAAACAAACAAACAATTGTAACGTAAGGATTCCAGGACTTCTTTACAGAGGCGATAGTTTAAAGCTAATTCTTCCATGGTAGTACGTTGTTATTTACTTGCATATTTATGTGTTATCAAAGAAGCTAACTTATCTAATCATTATGCCAAGTGGATGAAGTGAGAAAAAGTCCATGTAGGTGCTTTGAACCCGAAGATAAACGCGAGTAAGTGGGAAATTTGGCGAGTTGCCTCGAACTGAAACCTGTACTTTTACGCGCTAGGAGCCCTCAAAAGTACATCAATTTTCGATAACCAATTTGCGAGCTGACACGGTTGAAGATAATAGGCTCCCGAAGGCAGCCCTCTCGAAGGCATCAACATGGGGTTATAGCCATCGACTACATAATTTCTACATCACGCATAGTCGGTGATGAGACCGTTTTCTTAGACAATCTATTGATAAAAACTGTGTAAGCTTGCATTTGGTGAATTGATTGTTTAGCTGCACCGAATTGGTATGAGTTGGTCACCTGAAGCACATCACGAGCTGTACTCGGCGAAACCTGAGTCATTTGCTTTGAATCCGTCGAAAATTAACGCCGAACTTTACGCGGCTCCATGCTGAAAGCACAATGGGACTGATGGAATGATTTCGGTCTTACACAGAGTTCAAAATATCAATGACCTTCTGAAAGATCGTCCGAATGTGACCCAGGTAGTGCACATTATGAACAAATACTTTAAAATTAGAGCCAAGTAAAACCCATCGGGTTTGCCTATTAGGAATCATTAGTTTATGAACGGAGCTTGGCTGTGTTTTTGGCCAGCTCTTTGGGCTTTGCGTTTCATGCCTCGATGAGCACTCAGGTGAACGCGGATGATTATTTTGCTTCAAATAAACGATCGTACTTATAATTCCACACACAAAGTAGAAACAAATATGAGTAAAATAACTCATACATTTGTAAGTGTTAGGGCAACAGTGTAATGTAATATATCCATGACTAAAAATCTTGTAAACGCTTTTCGGTGGAGAAAAAACGGTTAGTTTGGAAAGCCTTTTAGTTCTCCAGGCCTTCTGAATTCATTGTACCCCGCGCTAGGGCTAGAATTGCCGAATAAATAAATATCATGATAGATAGGTGCGCATCCATTGGTTATAGGACTCACTCGTCCCGGTAATTTCATCCTGCCCATGAATGGTAGGGCGCTTTTGGAAGGTCGTGGGGTAGAGAACAGGTTTCCCCAACCCGAAGTCAGGGAAGCTTAATAAGGATGGGCGGTGTGTACTGTGTGAATGAGCTTAAAAAAACAAGTGCCACTCGCAATCTCCTCAGACCAGTTTGTGCTGTATTTTTTGTGTTCCTGCACGCACCCGATTACAAGAACCCAGGACATGTCCTTCGTTGCCTGCAACTAAGCAGGAACTGGCGCACATTGATTAAATTCGAGACCTCGCGAGGACATAGTTAAGACTAGTGCGGTTGCAACCCCATCATGGGCATGAGACAGACAAGAGGACAACGTAGGCGCACAAAACTTGACAAGCGAAGCTACGATTAGTCAGCGCAGTGGCGCTGATCACGGACTGCCACAGTATCCCTCGGCTAGACCAAAGGCGGCGAGTATCGGCGCCAAAAGGTCAGTTCGTATCTAAAATAAAGGGTTAGCAAACAGTAAGAAAAAGGAAGATTGCCTCGCGGCTTCCTATGATGAGGAAGGAGTAACATTCGACGACAGCAGACACGATGGAGAAGGTAGCAGAGGAGATGTAGGAATAGAGGATCGAGTAACAGGAGAACGGTGACCACGGGACTCGTCCGGTGGAATATCCAAGACAGCAATTTTGAGATAGTCCACGCTCAGGACTTC